TCTCCTCTCATGTCCCACGATGTCTGTGCGGATGCACGCTGCTCCATAGACTTACCTTGTGTCTCTCCTTGTCTCCCGGCTGAACATCTGAACTGCGCATGCGCCCGCCCCAAGATCCTTTACAGCCGCCCGAGATTCTTCAGATGTTCGGACGGGAGTGTGCAGCGAAGACACAGGTAAGTTTAAACTTGTTTGAAAAGGTTGTTTTTTTTCTAAGTTCTTTGCATATATTTAGTGCTTGCTAGCAGTAGATATATGCAAAAAAATGTGAGGGTTTAATAACCCTTTAACTATTAACAAAAATCTAATTTGTGTATCACTCAGCTGTAGATCCTCAAATCATCTCTGAATTTGTGCTGACACTGTCCTTCCTTTTGTTCACCATGGTCACTGTGTGTGTTGTAAAGTAGCCATGGCTCCAAACTTGCTCCTGTGATGGACTAGAATCTGCCATTCAGTTTCCTAATTTGTATTGAGATTGTAGTCCATCACAGGAGTGAGCTTGGAGCTGTGGCTACTTTAAATAGGAAAGGAAGAGAGAAGACTGGCTGCATCCCTGTGAATCCCCACAGACAGCCAAGCACCTAGGACACAGGGGAAAATCTGACATAGAAACTGGACAAAAGGGAACATCTGGCACGGATACCGGGACAGTGTGACAGTAACTGTTATTCATATCTCTTTCTAATAATCTGACAATCAATGTAATGACCTTGGTAGTGAAGATGTAGCTTCTATATATGTGAGCAAGTGTTTTGTCTGCTCTGGTAATTTAATGTGTAACTGATTTATCCACCCATATCTGTTTTTGCACACTGACATTGAGTTGAAAGGCTGAAACTATGTGATTCGAAGTCTTCAGTAGTTATGGTGGGCAGTGGCCGCTACATAAAAGCAAGTGATATGACTCTTATAAGCATAGTTTGCAGAATTTTGCTATGTAGAGGTGAGAACTTATTGAGAACTTTTGTTTATTAGATGTAACTTATCACACAAAGAGCTTTTCTAGTGCATTCTTTGCTACTGAAAGCTTTTCAGTGGATAAATCGAAATGAAAACAAAGCTTTCATTGAACCTGCTTTTCTAATAGCTGTTGGACAAGTTGAGAGAGATTGCGGTGAATCTAGTAGCTCATATCTTGTTCGAAGATGAGCAGATGTCCCTATGTACCCCTGTATGGCCACCTTTAACCCTTTAGTGACACAGCTTCAGAATTGTTTTAGTTCCTGGGGACCGGAGCAATTTTGTCATTTTTGCTAGGTGTTTGTTTAATCATCATTTCTATCTTCCTCATTCATTGCACCTACACATATTATATCTCGTTTTTTTAAAAGGACAAAATTAGCTTTACTTTGAGGTGATATATGCATATATACATTTTTATTTTTTTTAATTAAAAAAAATACAAAAATAATGCAAAAAAGTGGAAATAAAAACACATTTTTTCACAGTTTTGGCAATAATAATGTGTACATAATTCATATAGTTAACAAAAAGTACTTATTTTATTTGTCCTGATTTATAGGATATATGTTTTAAGATTTCAGTTTATTTTGGGAGTAATAGGTCACAAAATACAAGGAGTGAAATACAATTTTAATGTGGAACAATTTTAGAATGTGGAATGTTTGTCTTATACATATATATTTTTACATTACATTTTTACATATATATTTTATACATTTTTGTATTAAATCTTATAATTTACCTGATAAAATGTTGTTGTTTTTTAAACTAGGGGGCACTAGAGAGAGTTAATGTTTTATTCACAGGGGCTTTGAATACTTAGTATTCTGAGGAGACACTGTATTCTCCTCAGAGATACTTTGTATCATATTGCAGCCCACTGAGCCGGCCTGCAGCTCCACAGCACAGTGAGCTTCAAGCCGAATCAGTGGCTGTGATCACTGTAATTGGCTATTGCAGAGATCACAGTGCTGGGACCCCATAATTTGCTGTTGAGGGACCCAGCAACAGGACTTTACGGACCAGCGCTCATTTTCCCACATGATGGAATTATTGAACTAACTGAAAAATTTGATAGGATAATTCCATCATTGGTCAGGAAGGGGTTAAAAAGCACAGGGATACCCACAGTTCAATATGGTTTATTTATCATGCTGCACCACCAATTTTCGGAGCCTTTGGAAATACCCAATATTTCTGGGTTTGGGAGAGCATGTTAATGTTCTTGCCTTTTTCTCAGGATCCAGTGCTCGGGCCTGAGTGTTAAATCACCAGGCTAAAACTATCATGTAGTAAATAGGTGAAGGTCAGGGCTCTCGAAGATGAACAGGAGCAGCAGTGGAGCATAGTGAATTTATGTATAAGTGGGTGGTATATAATTTAAACAAAGTTTTACTAAGCCTTTTAAAACGTGAAGTGGCATTGTAGCTTGTGGTTGTTCTAGAGCTACACAGCCACCATATTTACCTACTTTTTACCTGATAAAATATTTACATGACTGTTCAAATAGATTTCTATTGGGTTTTTTTGCAAACCCAAAGTGTATTTTTTTTGCAGGTGCTGTGTATTTGATATGTTTTTACTGTTGTATGTGTGCTCTGTTTTCTATGTGTGTGTTCTCTTTGTCCGTGTTGTGTCTTGGCATTGAGACTTACAGTAGATATGTTCTTTGTTTACCTGTAAGACTCCACTGATAAGAAGTCAACTGAACATACTGTACAGTATATTCTTTTCTTTGGATTGCAAGCATTGCAGAGTCAGTGGACTTCACTTGGGTCACAGGATTTAATTTAATTTATTCTTAAAATACTATACAGTTGGATTAGTGACATATTGCACTTAAGTTTACAGTAAGTATATTTCACAGACCCTTTTCAGGGATACAGGTATTGTGAATCAGCCAAGATGCTGCTAGAAGTCACATCAAATGTAGCAGCAACATGTGGCTTTTGTTAGAGATCTGAAATTGCTCCCTTTACATTTCTGGTGCAGTCCTTCATTTTTCATTTTGGATCCAGAACCCGCGCACTAGTATCACGTACCTGGTAGAAGAACGAATTAGCTGAGGAGGCCTCCCTTGCAACTCTTGTCCTGCACCCCTGAGAGTGGAAACTGGGAGTGAGAGGACAAAGTGCATCATAGATAACAGAGGGTGTGTAGACACCATGCCAGGACACAGTCCAGAAGCTGTTTTCCAAGGATGGAGAAACAGGACAAGGATTCAGCCGGAAGGCCAGCATGGTGCACAACGGGAAGCAGGATGAAGTCAGACAAGCCAGAGGTCACACCAATCAGGCAGCGAGACAGTAGTGTAATCCAGGAGCAAGCAGAGGTCAAGAGGAGGTAGCAATCAGGCGGAGTCAGAGGCAATCTGGGTCAAGGTAACAAATAGGTAAAGAGACAGGAAGCAACACACACAAGCTGAAAGACCTTCAACAATGATCCACAGTACAAGCTGGTTTAAGTAGGGCCAACTATCAGAGGAGGTTATGTCATATGCTGTGCGCGCGCTAGCGTCAGCGCTTTATGCTGCGTGCACCTGCACATTAGCGCATGTTTCCCGAAAATGCGGAAGACAGGACCATGCGCATGCACAGTATCACATGAGCGGCTGGGTATAGTCTTACACCTAGAGCTTTTATGGTAAGATGAATACTGAGAGTTAAAAAAAAATATATACTACAATTTATATATGTAAGGCTAGCCATATATTCTTAAATTTTTCTTGTTTAGCCTAAACAAGAGAAAATCGATAAATTCCTGTATTCATGCTAAACAGCGTGGGTGGAGGAATCTGAACTTCTGGCTATCGTAAATTAGACAGCCGATGCACCTGCATCTATCTGATCTCTAAAAGGATGCAGTCACTGTTTAGCCAATAATTTTTCACCTGCCTCAGATGATTTTTATATTGACTTTTGTCGAACTGGGTTTGGTTTGAATTTTGGCCAATTAATCAGGCCATTTATAGCGCGCTTAAGTTATTTGAGCTGTGTTTGTCTCTGCAGCTACACAGGACTATCATTGGTTTTGTACGGCTGCCCTGAATTTGTGCTTAGCGTTATTATGTTTAATCCATTAAACAGAAACATAGCATGATGAACCGACACCAGTTAAAGGACCTCCATGTAAAGTATTTTTTTCATTAACAGACTAAATTATTGAATGTGTTGTGGTTAAGGCAAGCTGCTTGAAGAAATGTATGTCTGTTTTATAAGGCATAGCAAAAATTGTGTTCATTTAAACTCTTGTTATCTGCCTTCTGTGAGTTGTTAGCATGATTAAAAGTATGTAGGTTTGTTACACACAATTATGCATGCATGTGCACCTCACGGGGCACCCTAAATAATGCTTTCCAACTGGGTGCATGTAAAAGTTTTATATTCTTTTCATCATTGCCAAAGGATCTGTAAGAAATGTCCACAGCAACCAATTAGTTTTTTCTTGTCTTTTTGGAGTGCAGATAAGGAATTGTATAAACAATAGCCCCTTTTTGTCATGGTTTATTAAATTATCCTTTTGCTCTGTTATATTTGGATTCCTATGTCTATATGAACACACATAGTACAGAAAACAAGCAACATTACAATACAGGTGAAACTCGAATAATTAGAATATCGTGCAAAGTTCATTTATTTCACTAATGCAACTTAAAAGGTGAAACTAATATATGAGATAGACTCATTACATGCAAAGCAAGATAATTCAAGCAGTGATTTGTTATAATTGTGATGATTATGGCTTACAGCTCATGAAAACCCCAAGAACCCCAAATCCACAACCTCAAAAAAGTAGATTATTACATGCAATCAATAAAACAAGGATTGTACATAGAACAATATCGGACCTCTGAAAAGTACAAGCATGCATATGTACTCAGTACTTGGTTTGGGCCCCTTTTGCAGCACTTACTGCAATTACTTTTGCACGATATTCTAATTATTCGAGTTTCACCTGTATTGCCCTGGAAAGTGCATTTAAATATATTTGCTTCTGCGTTCTCATGTGGTTTTCTTGTGTTTTCCTCCTGTTAGCTGTCAGAGAAGATCTGCATAGAGATTCTGTCTTTAAATTTGGATATTGATTCAGAAGTGGTACAGAATGAAGCCATAAAGAAATTGTTTGTGGAGCACAGACTTGGCAACCTTCCAGCTGTGGAAACTCTAATGTCCTTACCAAAACCCAGAAATGGGCAGCTCATCCACTACAACCACAGCAATGGTAATGCACAGATCAATTGTGGAACATTCAATTATTGTGACCTTTCTAACTAAATGAATTGTGATTGGAAGCTGGTGGTACATATATATGAAGTTTATTTAAGTAGATTTGAAAAGTTATGCTGCCAAGCCAAAAGCTTTTCCCTTAGGCCCGGTTCACACTAAGGCAATCCGTGACTGCGCAGAAACACAACTGCTGATTGAGCTGGTGGTGTTATACATTTCTAATGGCACCCCAGTCGCGGCAGTCAGATTGCGCAGTTTCCCAGCAGGATTCTGTCTATGCAATCGCACATGATCATGCCTAAAAAAAGGTACATGTTCCTTCTTTAAGCGATTGCCGCGCGGATATAACCCTATAGAAATCAATGGGGCAGCGCGGCAACCACTGTGCGCTGTCGCGCACGAACACGCGGTCCCGGGACATACATCCCAGGATCGCCCAGGTGTGAACCTGGCCTCAAGCTCTTATGTCTTGCGATATCGTAAGGTTGCATAAACTTAGCTGGCTTGAAAATTATGCTTACATTAATTATTTAAATTGTATTTACATTTCCTGTATTTTAAGACAGGATTAGTGTATGATATTAAAAAGTTTAGTATGCAGCTCATCTCCGTGGCCCCCAATACACCACTTCTGGGTATAATTATTATTATAATTATCATTATTAATAAATATCTCCAGGACTTGTAGTTGTCGGCTCAAACCCTCTCCATTTCATGTCCACCATAGATCTGTATAGTGTGAGATTTAGCTTCAAATGGTAGGGCATTAAGAATGTAGTCCACTCGCAAACATGTTTTTTTAGGGCTTCCCGCGCACTTTTATTTAAAAGTGCACACAAGTTTTCCCTCACAGGGGTTTCTCCAACATAAGAACACAACTTTAGCTTTGTTTTTAAGCAAAATAACGTTTTTCAAAGTCTCCCCAAATTTAGGTTATTACTTTAAACTTCTCCCACATAGGCTGCATCCAACAGACTTGCCACACAGGCTGCATCCAACAGACTTGCCACACAGGCTGCATCCAGCCGACTTGCCACACAGGCTGGTTCCAGGATGGAGTCCTCCTGACTCCTGGACAGACACCTCCTTTGTCTTCCAGCTGGAACCCTGAACCTGAACCAGCATCCTTTTCATAAGGGCCGTGTACAGGTGCACAATCATTCGGTGCTGATCACCACTAAAGCCCAGACCCAGGGATGGAGATTTCATCCCTCCCAGTTCTCTTAGAAATCGCCTAGTTCCAGGATCCAAGTTATAATTTAGAAACCCAGAAAGAATTGTAAAGACAGCTCTTGCTGGTAAAAGTACTTGTGTCCTGGAACTGCTCAGCCCCTCTGACTGAGTGTCCTGGGTAACCATTTTGCCAAACTACATAGTGGCACTGCCACAATAGGTTAATATGCCCTGGCATCTCAAGGGACAGGAACTTGTGTTTGAATTATGCTACCTGTATTCTAATTTATGCACTTCACCCCAAAAAAATTATTGCATCATTGCAGCGCTACATTTGGATAAAGCAAACAACCAATCAAGGAGAGATTACATAAAGTCTCTTATGAAGGATCCAGATCCCAGCAGTGGAAGGTAATGATTTCCTCAAACTTTGAAAACTAAGAGCATTACTATAGTTCTTTAAGCCGTAAGGGACCAAAGGGCCATTTGTAAGTGCAAAGTAGCAGTGCACTGTAGGGTTAGCAAGGCTCCTGGTTCAGAGCTTTGAGATTGTGTCATTGTCTGAGGCTGCAGTGAAGCTAAAATTAGAAACAAAATTAGTACTGGAGCTGTCATTTTGCTGGTGTTCTTTACAGTGCATACTTCACTTGATGGCCATACATTTACAATAACACTGGTCAGTTTGCAATTCATTTTAGAGTAGCAAAGCAAATATATATTTCTAAAGATGGAAAGATGTATTGTTTTAATGTATTTTTGATTATGTAATTTTGTCTTATTAAATGACTTCTGTTGAACGTTTTATGTTTGGATACATCAGTGCTTTATCATCCTACTTTATACTTTTCTGTACTCAGTGGTTGAAAATACAGTGCCTGGCCAAAAAAAAAGTCAGAACCTGGATTTAGTTAAGGAAATAGGTAATAACCTTCCATTAGGTAACTATTAGGTTGAGCAACATTATGTCCCCAAAAAAATGAGGTCATCTGCCTACTTGAATAGACTTAATGACCAGGTGTTTCCCTTTAATGGATTTTTTCTTCTCTGATGGCACAGACATATTCCAAGATGACAATGCCAGGATTCATTAGACTCAGATTGTGAAAGAGTGGTTCAGAAAGCATGAAACATCATTTTCACACATGGATTGGCCACCACAGAGTCCAGACCTTAACCCTATTGAGAATCTTTTGAGAATCTTGGGGATGTGCTGGAAAAGACTTTACACAGTGGTCCAACTCTCCCACCATCACTACAAGAGCTTAAAAATTGAAAATTGATGCAACTCTGGATGGAAATAAATGTTGTGATATTTTATAAGCTTATCAAAATGATGCCACAGCGAATGCTAAAGCTTAGTGAATGCTAAATCAAAGCTAAAGGCAGTCTAATGAAATATTGGGGTATGTGGCTATTTTTTTGACCAGGCAGTGTAGGTCTTGGTGGAGAATGTAGAGTTTGTCGGGTAGCTTTTTTGTTACTCTATAAGAATATCCACTGAGAAATCATTCCATTCCTGAATATGATACCTTCTAGGCACTTGGTTCCTGCCATGTATAACTTATAAGACTTAAGATACTTTTTTACAGCAACCAATAGGGTTCTCAGTACAATGGGATAGAATATTTTAGGGATGTAACCATAAAGTAATGCCCATGGTCAGCCTATGCATTTAAGGATTTATTCTCAGTGTCCTTGGATCATAAAGCAAAACCACTAAATATGACTGGTTTGTCCACAACCTTTCCAGCTGCTATATTAGGCCATATTAGCGTGCTGTTATTCTATACCATTTTATTAGCAGTTTATAATACATTTCCTTTATTTTTGTACTAATTGAAGACATATGTGTAAAAGCTATAATCTTTTCTGCCATGTGACAGATGGATCTGAAATGATCTCTCTGGTTTCTCTGATAAACCTCAAAAATAAACAAAAGTTTAAGGATAGTTTAAGGTTAGTAGCATTTTATAGAGCATGGATATGCATTCAGGGGCTGATATCATTTTATGAAAGAAATTATCAAGTTTATTTCCCTCTTGCATAGCCATAGTAGGTTAGGGAGGGTCTGTCTTGACATGTACAATGCAATCACTTGCAAATTCCAGATATGGTTAGGTTCCCACAGGTGTAAGTGTCTATTGAGATCTATGTCTTTTAAGGGACCTGGAATTGCCAGACTAATAACCTAGTAAGGATTAGTGCCTCATAGTATGTCTTCATTTTCAATACATTTTTATTGAGTTTTACAATGCAGAAAGAATACACATTTCAAGGTCAAGCATTACATAACTAAGTGATAAACTATACGAATCAGAGGACAGGTATGTTGGTATAGATCATGCTTAAGGAAAATCCCTGTAGCATATGAATAGCTAATATAAACTTAAGTTGCCTAAGAGTTGTTGTGGTTAACAAAGCAAGTTGGACCTTTTCGTAATTATCTTGGCCTTCTGAAGAAACAGAGAAGAGAAGAGATGAGAGCAAGATGAAATAGAGAAAAGAAATGAGAAAAATCAGCCTACATAAATTAGTAGTAATGCAGTAAGGATTTGTATCTGGAAAAGGATGTGATGTTTACAGTAAGATTTAATTATTTTAAGACCGGGGTTTCCATTGGAAGGGGAAGGTTGCTTGTAGGGATGCACCGATACCATTTTTTCCAGACCGAGTACTTATACTTTTCCTCAAGTACTTGCCATTACCAATTACCGATACCTTTTTAGCATCATGTGACAGTTTTTCTAAAACAATGCAGATTAATGATTTTAGGACAGTAGTGGAGCACCAGGGCCCAGTCACAGCTGCAACCTCTGATACCCTGATAGCTCTAGCTAGAAAGGCATCAGCTATAGAGGACTACACATCCCAGCAATCCATTATACAGCAATGCAGAATACCACCAACTATAGAGGACTACAAAAATCCTATTTTCTCTTCCGTTCATTGAAGGACACAGGAAACAGATTGAAGATCATGTACCACAGGGACGCCACAAAGCAGTAATAGCCAGAGGGGTGGACACTAAAAAACAGTTCACACAAACAAACACCCCTCTAAAGGGCCACCTGTAAAACCTTGTGCCCAAAGCTAGTGTCCGCAGATGCCAAAACATCCACTTTATAAAACTTAGCAAAAGTATGAACAGAAGACCAAGTGGTTGCCTTACAAGCCTGAAAAACAGAGGCACTATGACGAAAGGCCCAAGACGCCTCAACAGCCCTTGTAGAATGGGCTGTAACAGAAAAAGGAGGCTCATGTCTCCTAATGGCATATGCCTGAACAATCGTGTTATGAATCCATTGAGAGATAGTAGCCGAAGATGCGACCTGGCCCTTCCGGGGATCCGCCGCAACCACAAACAAAGAATTGGCCTCATGGAAAGAAGCTGTAACATCAAAACAGTGTAGCGCCCTCTCCTTCTTATGAACAGGCTTCGGACATAGAGAAGGCAAAACAATTTCCTCATTCAGATTAAAAGCAAAAACAATCTTAGGGAAAAAGGACGGCCTAGGACACAGCACAACCTTGCCCCTATGAAGAATGAAAAACGGGGACTTGCACGACAAGGCCTCCAACTCCGAAACCCTTCGAACAGAAATGCCACAAAGGCCACTGTTTGGGACAAGGTTCTCAAACTTCCCTCAACAGCTCAAAGACTCCTGCAACACAGAGAGCACCAAATTCAAATCCCAAGCCGTCAAGGGAGAACGAATAGGAGGAACGATACGCGCAACCCCATGAACAAAGGTACGAACCAAAGAATTTGCCGCTAAGGGACGCTGAAAAAGAATATTCAGAGCGGAAACCTAGCCCTTTTTCATTGCTCAAGGCCAAACCTAGATCCACCCCACGCTGCAGAAAATTAAGTTTTAAGGTATTTTGTTTAAAAACGGAATATTCTACTGTTCAAATGTGAGAGCTATTGTAGAAGTTTTTATTGGAAAACTCAACCCTTTGTCATACTGTCAGTTAATAATTACAAATTGGATTTGCCTTGTAATCAGGTTAGTGCATAAGGCCCCATGCGCACAGCAATTAAAATACACGCTTCTAGGTGCATTTGGAGTTTTTCCAAATGTGGTTAAACACAGAAAAAAGTGGGAACGTTTGGGAAGTTTAAAACTGTTTATACTTCTCGTATAACTACTTATGTGTATAATACAAGAGGCCTGTGTGCATGGGGCATTAATGATAACAAAATGCAGTAAGAAACGACAAATAAACAAAAAATAAGTGCCACATTTGTGACAGACATACTGATAATGCTCCAATTTGTTTTACTACCAAGTCGGGACCATAGATTCTCAAGTTTCCAGGGGAAAACAAGACCATTAAGTAGTCTCTGTCAGCCGTATAGGACAGCTTGCTTGTCTAAATTCTGTATTCCCATATACTGTAAGGAGTAAAAGCATTGAGTACCATTGGACTGTGAAGTAAAGCAACATCAGTTTGCAGAATTTGCAGCTATGTGGTTTAGTCCAGTTCAGAAAATGCTAGTTGCCTGGATGCCATGCTGATCTATACAGCAACTATTCAATTTTATTTAAAACAGCTTCCAAGCAGTCAATGTGCTGTTGGATTTCTCTTTAGAATTTGGTTGATGTATCATCTTGTGGTCTGAATAGTATACTGACCATTTTTCAGCGGAGTGTCATTATCAGTGTAATGTAGCCTACAAACCTTGAAAGGGTTTTATAATGTTTTTAGTCTGCTAATGTCTTGGCCACCATCCATACTGGCGTTAGATTTGAGTGAAACTACTGCAATCCAATTATTTCACAGATTATTTATTTGTACGAAATGTAACCACAAGACAGCGATACAACTGGATTTATGTCACTTTAGGTACATGGTATTTATTTTCCTTAAAGTGCAAAATGTTTTTCTTACCACAATATGTACATACAGCAGCAAGGCATATGGTTCCTTGTTCTTAAGGGAGAAGACTGGCTCTGCTTTACTTAAATGCAACATTAATAAAAATGTTTTTTTAGAATAGGCCATTTTTGTAGTTTATACAAAAGAGCCAAGATCTACTTATAATAAATTTCCAATGAGGTTTATTCAGAATGTTAAAGCAGTTATCTTTACAAGCAGATCATAGTTTGATCTTTGGTGCCAAGAAACCTCAAAATCCACAATGCCTTACATTCTGCTGCTGAAGCCAGCCCAAAATGGAGTTTGACTGTTACACAAACCACAAATTCAAGGCATCTTATGCATTGCCCTGCAATTAAGCATTTTAAAGGGGGAATAAAACTTGGCTGCTGAGCCTGGATGTTGAAATACAGCTTAAAGAACACATAGATCTTTCTTACTCTTAAAAGCCCTTCTTAAATTTCATAAGCTACCAAGGGTGTGTGTTTTCCACATTTTACAGAGGAAGCAGCATTTTACTGTGGTTAGTTTTGATCCAAAGTCAGGTCACAGAAGGGTTTGTGGGACACAGTCCCTATTAATCAATGTGTCAAAGAAATAAATAAATAACAGATCATAATTTTTTGTTTCTTGAGTCAGTAATAACTCTTTCAGCAAGGAAACTGGATAACTGCTGGTAGCTACGTAGACTACATTTGAAGTTAGTAATCTGAAAACAAAATTACAGAATTGTTATTGCATTGTGACATGATGAAATCATTAAGCAAAATGGTAATGGTCTTAACACTTATTTTACATATTTTTCTGCCTCAGAATTAAGGTGCCATGTCCTATAGCCTATTACTTGCTACAAATAACGTTTTAAAATCTTAAATTAATGTTTTCCTCCCTCTTAGTGACTGGTCGTCCTGGGTGCTCTATTTCTTTTTTTTTGTAATCTATGTGTTTTTATGGGTGTATTGTTGTGCAACGGTTAAGACATATAGTGTTGTAATTTATGTCTATTTTGGGTTAGTCTATCTGATTATCGATTATATTTTTCAACTTTGATTGAAATTATATTAGTACTTTATTCATGGTTGCTTCATATTACATTATTTAGACCTGAATCTACCTTTGCTTGGCGATAATTATATGCTGATAGGGTCATGAATTTGAGGAATACATATAAAAATGCATATTTTTTTTAGTTGATGGTTATTTTTTTGCCACATGGTTTTGTATTTAGGTAAAACAAATTTAAATGTTTTAATGAGTTAGGAAATGCATAAAGTAAATATTAACATTTTGCACGTTGATAAACTTTGATTGGTGTGGTAATTTTCTTTTTTTGCTAATAATTTTTTTTGGTCAGTATTAAATTTACAGTGGTTAGTGACCCACCAGAGGATGAACAGGACCTCGAGTGTGATGATATTGGATTTAGTAATATCAGCCTGAAAGAAATTTTACAGACTGGCAAAGACGTTATTCAACGGAAAATTGAAAGTAGGTTTCATTTGTCATAATTCATCTATACTAATTGTAGTATAGTACCAGAAACAATTGCTATACATTTTTGGAATATAATAAAATAATTTGTGTAAACATCATATCCCTTAGAAAGTAAGTTAGTAGTGATTTAATAGCAAGCATGTGTATTGAAGTGTGGAAGTGAAGTGATTCACTATCCACTTGGTACTGATTTCTAATGTTTCTTGTTTAAAGTCTCTCTACCCATGCCCTTTGTAAAGGCATATTTATATTTATTGACGTGTAATATAATTGGACACTCTGAGGCAACTTTCCTAATATTACAGCAGACAAAATCTGGAGCAGCTGTGTATGGCAACTAATCGGCTTCTATCTTTCATTTTGTGAAGCTTAACTGAACAAGCTGAAGATAGAGACTCAATGGTTATCATGCACAGCTGCTCCAGATTATGTTTGCTCCAGTTTTAGTAAATTCCCCCCCCACCACCACCACAAATTAATGCTAATTTCTGCATATTTATTTTGCATGTGATCACTATGTACAGTATTACTATACTTCAACAATAACTTTCACTGACTCTAATAAGCATATGTTGTATAATCAAGTCCCTTTTGTCCTGATAATGTTTACCTAAAATTGAGTTTAAGGGAAATATTGTTCACATTAAAGCTGGTAAACTACAACCTGTCAAGATTTCCAAAGCTGTTTAACCACTTGGCGACATTATGACATTCCATGTCATCCTGGAAAGCATGGGCTTTAAAGATGTTAGGGCAGTATGGAATGTCCTAACTTCTAACCCCCTTCATTCCCCCTTTTATACTTACCCGCAGGGATCCAATGCAGGGACTTGCCTGGCAACTCAGGCAATCCCTCAGGGTCCAATCTGCTGCAATCTGGGTCACGTGATCGCAGTGACAACAGTCATTGCGATCAGTAATACATTGTGACAGCCAATGATTTGAATCATTGACTGTCAGCACTGCCTCTGCTTCTCTCTTTCCTCAGTGTGATCTGAGGTGAGAGAAGTAGATAGATCAGTGCTACTAAAAGTAGTCAGTTACAATAATAAAAAAAAACTTTATTAAAAAAAAATGTACCCCTTCATTGCTCATCACAATTTTATAACTGTGATCACTCTGATCAGTACAATACTACGGTTCAGGATTGTTGGTATGTATGTTTTCTTTTTTTCGTTAATTGTAACCATTTTTTATTTTAAAAAGTTCAAAATGAACCCCTTCAGCACTGATCACAGTTTTATAACTTTGATCAGTACAGTTGTACTGTTCGACATATTCAGGTGTGATTTTTGCATTTTTTATATTATGAGTTTACCCATTTGTTTTTTTTTTTATTTACCCCCTTCAGCGCTGATCCTAGTTTTATTGCTGTGATCACACTGATCAGTACATTAGTACTGTTCAGCATTTTTGAGGTGTGATCTTTACCTTTGTTTTTATTAAAATGTTACATTTTTAAGTTTTTTACCCTTTCACGTAGTAAAAAAATTAAGTCTGTTACAAAAAAGGAGTTAGAAAAGACTCTACTTACTATTGCCCTTTCTGTCCATCTCTACCAGTCCTATGTATCACAGACTGTTTCAGAGTCTACCATACACAGCTAGACTATTAATTCAAATTATTCTGTATGTGACTCGATTTATCTGTGATTATTCTGTGTACCTGACCTCGGCTTGTCCTATACCGACTATTCTGACTTCTGGATCCCCTGACCTTGGCCTTTCCCCGTTTATGTTAAACCCAGCATTCTAAAACCATGATAAAGTGGCTACACAAAACAACTCAAAATACCCCATTTGGAATACTCTGGGTTGTCAACTTTTGAAAATGGTATGCCATCATTTGGAAATGTTCTTTCCTAGGCTGCCATACTGTCTCTAAGGCGACCTAGACCCAGTAGATCAATTTTTTTAAATCTCCAAGTTTTTAAATGGTTTATGCAATATATTTGGCCCTGTCACTTTCCAAAAAACTGTATAACCAGTACATGGGGGTACTGTTATATTAGTTAGATATTGCTAATTACGAATATCCAGGCTTTATTGCAGTAAGACATATAAGGATTATGAAATATCCTGTGAAAATGGAATGCATCTGTGTGAAAAGCACAGATGAAAGTATAGGCTTCTAAGGGTGGCCAGGATTTTTGATAAAGTGGCTACACAAAACAGCTAAAAATACCCCATTTAGAATACTCTGAATACTCTGGGTTTTCTACTTTTGAAAATGGTATGTTATTATGGAAATTTTTTTCTTTCCTAGGCTGCCATACTGTCTCCAAGGCGACCTTGGCCCAGAAATGCAATGTGCCAAATTTCCCAAGTATGATGACTGAAATGGGCAAGTCCCATATTTGGTCCTGTAACTCCCATAAACCCCATTAAACCTGTATATGGGGGGTATTGTTGTACTCATGGGACATTGTAGAAGACAATTATAGGTGATCTATTGTAGTAAAATGCATCAGTATGATGATATTCACAATAAAATATGTGTGCATGCATGTTTGGAAAAAAATTTAATTTCTTAATTTCTCATAATTGGCTAGATTTTATTCACATATAATTACAGTTCATTACACAATAGTTGATGTCAAACGAGAGCCCTATTTGTCGTCTATGAAACAATATATAATAGGTGTGGGTGTACTTAATATGAAAGAGGTAAATTATGGTTGAACAGACATATAGTTGAAATTCTATGTTTTGTTTACGTTCAGAACTTGGACAATTGCCTCCGTCCTTTAAGGGGTTAATGTGCAATGTGAAAAAACTACAATAATAATAAATGTAGGAAGTAATCTGAAAGCTGCCATACAAATTGAGTAATAACCCAAGTGCAACCAGAGACTACAGCAATAAAAACCAATGGAAGGCAAATTATAAATAATGGGGGTTGATTTACTAAAGGAAACTATGCTGTTTACTTTGCGAAAATGAAGGGAATTTTCCTTTAGCATTGTGAATGTGGGGAAAATTCACTTTGCAAGGAGTACACAATTATGTGCAAGGAAAATTAGAAAAAAATACTTTTTGCTAGGCTATGATTGGACGATGGAAGTCAGCAGAGCTTCATTTTATTCACTAAACTAAGGCAAAATTGATTTGCAAAGGGAACAGCCTCTTTGCCTTTAGTAAATTAACACCAGTATGTACAACCAGGTATTGACTAGCGGAGGGCTACGGTAGTTCCAATATTTAAAAAAGGGTCCAGATGCCATCCGGGGAACTACAGACCAGTTAGCCTTACATCGGTAGTGTGCAAGATGTTAGAGGGTATGATCAAAGACCACTTAGTAGAATGTGTTCGGGATAATGGCATTGTAAATGACAACCAGCATGGATTTAGGAAAGACCGTTCCTGTCAGACTAACCTGCTAACTTTTTATGAAGGGGTAAGTAGAGATTTGGATGAAGGGAGGCCAGTGGATTTGGTATATTTGGACTTTGCTAAGGCATTTGACACGGTACCACATACACGTTTACTACACAAGCTGAGGACTATGGGCATAGATGAAATAGTGTGTACATGGATAGAAAACTGGCAACAGGAACGGGTACAAAGGTTATCGATAAATAGCACCTTCTCGGATTGGGCTAGGGTCATGAGCGGCGTGCCGCAGGGTTCTGTGCTGGGCCCCATGCTGTTTAACCTTTTAATTAACGATATTGGGGAGGGGGTAAACAGCCACGTTTCAGTGTTTGCTGTGATACTGAATCAGACACTATAGCATTACAGGAGGATCTGGATAAAATAGGGGAATGGGCAACTACATGGCAGATGAGGTTTAATGTAGACAAATGTAAGGTTGTGCACTTTGGGGTTAAAAATAAGAAAGCGAATTACACACACACTGGGAGCTCCCCTGGGGAAGTATGAAAGGGAAACATAGATTTATGGGTCATTGTAGACCACAGGCTGAATAATAGCTCGCAGTGTCAGGCTGCGTTAAGCAAAGCAAGTAGGGTCCTGTCCTGTATTATAAGAGGGGAATGTTTAGCAGGGACAAGTCTATAATTGTGCCACTTTATAGATCGCTGGTTCAGCCTCATCTGGAGTATGCTGTCCAGTTTTGGGCACCAGTGAACAGAAAGGATGTCCTTGAAATGGAAAGAGTCCAGAGGAGGGCGACCAAACTCATAAAGGGGATGGAGGACTTGAGCTATGAGAACAGGCTACTAAATTTAAATATGTTCTCATTGGAAGCAAGGAGATTAAAAGGGGACATGATTTTCATGTACAAAATATTTACCGGGGATAACAACATTAGCAGCAAACTTTTTACAATTAACTCCAAGACAAGGACGAGAGGCCACCACCTAAAATTAGTGGAGAACATATTTCAGCACAAGGGGGGAAGAGGGTTCTTCTGAGTTAGATCAGTGTGAGAGTGTGGAATCATTCAAGAGGCGATTGGACGATTTCCTCAGAGACCGTAATATACAGGGGTACAAGTACTTTTAAGAATGAGAACAAACAGGGACCTATACATACGCACACATCAGTAGGACCATACACATACACACAAAAGGTTGAACTTGATAGACATGTGTCTTTATTCAACCTCAAATACTATTTAACTATGTGACAAGACAGGGCAGAATGCAGGACTGAACAGTACAGGACACAGGTAAAGCAGCTTACAGGATCCAAATTTGAGGCCAGAAAATTAAAGTGTGTACAGAGTATACAGGCAAAAAATACCAAATAGTTCAAATGCTGGAGAGGCTGGACTATAAATTCTCCCAGCAGTCAGTTACAGGTGCTGACTAAAGTCAGATGACCAGATCCTACAACGAAGCACCTGCTGATGACTATTAGAAATACAGCTTGCCTGCCACTGAAGCATTGTGATATCAATAATTTAAACTAGGCTTTTATTACACATCCACTTCAAGGTACTTACTGTACATGTATGTTTTCTAACCTACTACAGTGCCCCGGGAAGCCCTAAAGTCCTATGCATTCCAATATGCGTTAAGTAATATTAGGGACTGAAGGTGTGCTCGGTGTGCTCCACCCCATTTGCTTCCCTTATCTGATTATTGGTCGTTAAGGCTGTCCACCATGGGACATGTAGTCCTTCCATTAGACTAACAGAGAGGTGCAGAAATATTTGCATGTGTACCTCTCCAAACACCAATCGCATGTTACATAGTTACATAGTATTTGAGGTTGAATAAAGACACAGGTCCATCAAGTCCAACCTTTGTGTGTATGTATGTGATTCTGCATTTGTATATGTGTACACAAGTCCCATTTCCATCCTTGTTTTTAAGTGTACCTGTACCCCTGTATGTTGCGGTCTCTGAGGGAGGTATCTAAATGCTTTTTGAATGATTCAATACTCTCAGCTGATACCACTTCTTATGGCAGCGAGTTCCAGACTTTAACCAGTTGACATCCGCGGTGTTAAACCCCCTTTCCCATCCAGGCCATTTTTCAGTATTCAGCGCTGTGGTACTTTAACTGACATTTATTCCGTCATGCAGCGCTGTACTGAAATGAATTTTATACCCTTTTTTGGGGACAGATAGAGCTTTCTTTTGGTGGTATTTATTCACCACTGGGGGTTTTATTTTTTTACTATATTAAGGAAAAATTACCGAAATTAAAAAAAAAA